GAATTGTGTAAAATCACATTAGTGCAAAAATAAAGCATGCCAGAATTCCCGGAGCCAGAAGGACCTGGAATGAACTTCACGTTCTCCCTTCTCTTCTTTTGCCCCCTTCCCTGTAAATCGCCCCAAACTCCACTTCTCAAATAGATTTTATTACTTCATGGAAATCACTTTGAGTTATAATTCTGTTATTCTTTTTTTTGCAAATTGAGAGAAAGTGAAAGAAGAATGCGTTAGAAAGACACAATGAAAAGCATTATACAGGGTGTTTCCTTTAAGTTTGGAATTATTCTGGAGAAAAAACATGAGCTTTTTACATGTAAAAGTACCCCTTTTACATGTAAAAGTAGGCACCGAACTTAGTGTTGTGAAAACAATGACCACATTACAGAATAGATAGGACAATCCCAGTGACAGTAAAGAGTTGTTTAGGGGAAAGTGGGGGGGGGGGGAGAAGGAAGACAAACAGCTGAAAAGGAAGGGTGGCCCCTTGTTTCTATTTTTCTCTTATTAAAAACAATTAAAATTGTATACATTCTCAAATGAGACAAACAAGATGTATCAGAGTCTCATGCTATTATATTACATGCCACCCCACCCCGCAAAGGGAAAGACATATCTGGAGTTGTACCTAAAATTTCAATGGCTGAAAGATTTTTAGAAAACCAGTTTTGTATGTTTCAGCCTTTCAAAGGGAAACAGAACTTAGGAGTTTTCAAGGCTGTTTTAAACCTGGCACGTTACCAACTCTGGCTATCCGTGCAAATCTGGGCAGGAAGTACTAAGGAAATTCTAAACTCATTCCCTCCCTCGGCAAGATTTTCTACATTTTCATGTGCAAGAAGTGTGTTAAGGGATTGTTTTGTTTTTGAAGGGTCCGTACATTCACATCTTGAAGAACAGCCCTCGCCCCCCAGGAGCCCCATTCTTCCTCTGCTACTCCTCGGCCCTTGTTTCCAAGTGTTTGCTCTTTCTGGGCACAATCCACCAGGCTCCAGGGTTCAGAGGAGAGCCCCGGTCCAGGCTGCAGATGTCAGGGAACTGAGCCTGAATTCAGTGTGCAGTTGATGAATTACTCCTAACACCTGACCCCAACTTCACACCAGGCTCTGAGCACAATCTGAGTACCACCCGCCCGAGAAACCCCATCAGGGTCCCGTAGTCTGAACCCTTTGCTTCAAGATCTTCTGGGGCAGCAGGTGGGAATGCAGTAGACCGATATCAGAGCGATGGGACCAGAAACTAGCTGTGCCCTGGGTTGGTCAAGACATAGTGAACTGGTAAAGATGTGGAAGGGGAAGAAAGACAAGCTGATGGGCTGGTGCAAATTTTAAAGTTGGACGAAGATGACTGAAGTTTTCCAAAGATCACATAAATAGGAGAGAAATATCTATGTCTCATCTGCGGAGTATCAATTCACCAGGCTGTGATCATGTTTTACTTTTTAGCTTTTCTAGTTTAACTAGTTTGTTTTTCCAAGAACCCACCCCCACTCTGCCGCCACACATCCAAAAAATACCTCAAATTCAGACTGAAAGTCACTCTGGATCTCAAAATGCAATAGCAACAGTCTGATTGCTTTGAATGGGCTGTGACAACATTCTGGGGATATATTAGGTTACAACTCAATCAAACATCGTTGTGTAAGTTATCACTTAGCTAATGAACAATTTTTGGGGTCCCCTTTCTCTAAAATCTGCCGATTATTCTGGGTGGATTCCCAACAGCAAATTTCTTTTGATAAAAGTCATGCTTTTAATCCAGTTATGTCTCTTATTTAAATGTTATGGCATCTCACCAAGATTTTTTCATTACTCCTTAATCAAAAGCAATATTCTTTTTCAAAATTGCCCCTCTTAGTAGGAAAAAAAAAATGATCAAAAAGAAAATTAACAAATGACAACTTTTGGTGTGAGGTCTGGGAAAGTAAGCATACTATAACAATATTGCTACAAGGTATAGCTACAAGCCAGCCAGCCACTGGGTTTTAATTTTATTTAATTTTCAAATAACTTTTTCTAATAAAATATTTTAAGCATCTGGAAAATTATGCAAAGGGACAAAAACATAAATATCTTATTTCTATTTAAAAAATATTTAGACAAAGTTGAGAGATTGGTTTTAATGTCATGGAAAATCAGAGGAGCAGAGAAGGCAGGGAAATGTCACAAGTTTTTTTACAAACTTTAAATACATTTGAATAAATGGAAAACACTTGCATTTGTTTTAAAATGTCCTTTTCATTTTGTTTTATCACAACAAAATAGCAACTGTATCTAACACACATATTGAAGCAAAAAAGAGAAAGTTCAGCATTTTTGCATTTACTGAATGAATACCATAAACATTTCAGTTCTTTATAATCCCATGAAGATTTTCCACCCAAAACTAATGTCCACAAATGGCTTTTGTAGATTAGTGAAAAACACCTGAATTTAGAGAACAGTTGAAGTTATGATATCACCAGAGTATGATCTTTGTTGTCAGCCACATAATTCTATCAACCGTAAGTATCCTTCATACATCAGCATCATTATAAATAACTATGATTTTGAAATAGGATTATAACTACAAGCCAAGTCTAGAACATAGTTGATTTTATGAATTCCACCTAGACTTACAAATAAATACAAGCAGCATGTAGGTCCCTCAAAATTGTTATAGGTTATATTTTAAGATATGTGTAGAAATGGCAAAAACTGATACTGAAATAATCCAGTGGTTTTCATGCTATTCTGGGGCAGGAGAGTACTTTTTTCCTATAGTATTCACACTGTCAGAAAATCTCCACCTTTTAAAATATAATTGCACATTGACTTTTTCTCCCATTCCTCGTATGACCAAGTTTCGAAACGGGGCAGGCTTTCACATCTTCAGCTTGCAAGGATGTTATTAATGCCTGTCATTTCAGAGCCGCCGTAACAATATTCGACAATTCACAGCACTGCCGAAATTTTACAACATAATAATCAATATGAACTACCATGATAGCAAAGTAGCTAATCTTATATCCCCTACCACCCTGATCTGATTACCCCAATATCAGCTTAGGTCCCCTAATGGATCTAACTTCTTTTAAAATGTTCCAGAAGTTGATGGCTTTGACTAGTTTGAAAGTAACAAGATCCAGATGCTGCCTGTCTACACAACACTAAACTACATAGGACCCCAAAACAGCTCTCCTCTCTTCCCTCACCACTCCACTTTCCCCTTTACCCCAAACACACACACACACGCACACGCACACGCACACACATGCATACACTTTCCACCAGGGTGGCTCATCCAGCATCCTGTATCTTTAATATAATGCGCATGACATTATTTCCTGCTAGCAGTAGGTTAAAAGAAATCTCAAGCAGCAAAGCAAGGATTCCATTTATTTCCATCTAAAGTTTCTTTTCCGAATATACTTCATAGTAGAAAACAAGGACAAGAAGAGAGTGTGAATTTTGAAACATTTGGAAAAATTTAGCCGAATGAGTAAAAGGGATGGAATGTCCGATATTTTTCATGCAACCCTTGAGTTTGTTGTTTTTGTTTCTTTGGGGGGATGAGAAATGACTAAAATTTCCCCTTTTCCACTTGTCCTTGTTTTGCCATTTCCTCAAGGAAGGCAGGCAGCATTCCCCTCCCAATCCCCAAAGAGTTAAAACTCAAGGCACTGGAGCAGAAGGGCTGGTCTATTTAAGCAGCAGCAGCAGCAGCACAAACTAAATGCTCACAAAGGCAAAAAGCAATGTGAGTCGACCTTGGAGGGGCAGGGCGAATCACAGAGCGATGGAAAAAGAAAGGGGGGGAAAAAAGCAACGATCTTTAATATAATATTGAAAGTCTGCTGCCTGGTCTGGTACACAAATAGGCATTGTTTGATGAGACAGAATAAATGAGAGAGAACTACAGCATGAATTACCAAAGCCTAATCACATCAAGAAGTCCTGGTGACAGCCCAGATCACTCAGGCACGCCTTGTGCACTCTCGGCATATGTGTCTATTAGAAGACTATGGAGTCTGGCTAATGCAATACAAAATAATATAATCTGGAAAGGAATAGAATCCGTGCATGCAAGGTGGAAATGCTACCCACATATTCCCTCAAAATCAAGTCCAATTTAATTGACAAAGTGGAACAGTGATATCACACCTGAAAGTCCTTCATGTGTGAACTGCAGGATAAACTTCACGGTTGGCACTGCCCACTGCTCAGTTACGTGGGCTTCCCACTGGCCCCCTAATGACCATTTGAGCACACACATAAAGCCTGAGGTATTTAACCAATTCACATCCAATTACCATCAGTTACATTTCATCTCGTTTCAAGACCCAGGCCTTCTGATGGCAGCCAACACAGGCAGACAGAGCTACTAAAAGTCAAGAACATCTATGGGTAAGCTCCACCATTCAGTCTGTAGCATCCCGATCACCCTTCATACGAAACAAAAATACGTAAGGCAAATTAAAGAAAAATGTCCCCAAACAAACTCCAAGAGACTTGAGTTAACTGTCCTATCCCTCCCACACCCTTCTTTTATTCTACACTCAGCGATTAAAAGTTTGAGTTACCCCCACCCTGGTGTGTCCTATCCAGTGGGAAAAAACCTTCTTAGAGTCACAAACAAAGACCAGCTCACCAGAAAAGCCCCTGAAATTGTATTCCTGTGCCTGATAATCACTGTTAGGACCTCCTTTGCAACAACCCTGCCCATCTGCAAAGGACTTTACAGATACCGGGAACACTTACGCTGCCAAATAACAACAAAAGAACTCGAGTGAAACTATGATCTCTCCTTAAAGAGAAAACTACAATTCCAGAACTGCGTTCTTCATATACACTCGACTGTCTTATTAACTCCATTGGGATGTTACTAATTTCAAAGAAGCAGGACTAGGTGATGGGGGGTGGGTGGGGGGTGGTTAAATCATCATTCACATGCCTATCTGTTTCCCATCCCAAGTGCAGAAGGATACCGCACGGATTGCCAGACTGTGGCTCGAGCCATACCTTGGTTTGGAGATAATGAGGATAGTAGTAAGTGTACTGGGGGTACATTTGTGGCTGATCCAGGCGTTTGCCCATGTAGCTGGAATGCTGATCTCTGGAGCAGGGAACTGGATGATAGGGTGTAGTGCCCCAGGCCGAGCTTCCTCTGAAACCACTATTCCTGACAGTCCCGATGACTGAAGAGGCTTCTGAGATTCCTCGTCTTCCACCACTCGCTAGTTCCAACACAGCAAGAATATAAAAAAGAAACACAGCAAAAAAAAAAAAAAAATAGGAGCTGGGGATCGGTAGGAAAAATAAAACCACACACACAGCTTCCCCAGATCTTGTCTGCCTCCTCCCAGCCGCCGGGGTCCACTTGGGATGAGGCAGTTCGTTCTCTACCAGGCTGTCTGTAGTGATGTCAATTTGCCAGCGTTTGTAAAGGGGAAAAAAAAAAAATCAAAGTCCTTCCAGCATAACTCCGAATCCTTGCAGATCAGCTTCCTGTCTCCTGTTTGTCTCTTTCCTCACCTTAAAGAAAAAGCAAATAAAAAGAAAGAAAGGAAGAGAAAGAAAGGAGGAAAAGAAAACAGGGGGGGAAAAAAGAAAGAAAAAGAAAGGGGAAAAGAAAAAGGAAAAAAAAAAAAACCTTGCACAGCTTAGTTGCTGCTGTCTCCCTCCCAGAGTGACATGGTGATCGGGGCTTGTCCTGTCCTTTCATTCACTTCCCCTCCTTCCAGCCGGTGGGTGGAACCGAGAGAGCCTCTCCAGGGAGCAGCGTACGCAGTCCAGAAGGCTGCAGTATTTCCTCCAAGAAAAAAAAAAAAAAAGGCTGCTTCAACCCCTGCTGCAAGCAAAGTTCCGATTCCCTCTGCTGGCTATCTCAAATAGCAAAGCGGTTTTTGCAGAGAAGCTGCTGCGGCTGGAACTGAACCGGGCGACTCAGATGCGGGCGGTGGGTGATTTCTTATCTTTCCCTCCATCTACTCCACGGAAGAGCTGCCTTCTTCCCTTTTCCTGCCAAGTTTAAAGGTAAGCCACACGGCTAAACAAAACAGGGAAGACCACGGGAGGGAGGAGAGGACAAGGGAGGAAGGAAGGAAGGGAAAGGGGGGGAAAAAAAGGAAGAGGAACTAACCTTGCTGGTTAAAATGCAAAAAGAGTGTCCCGGATGCTTTCAGAACCTGTTAACACACTGAAGCCAGATGAATCCAAGACCTGGTTTAGAAACTAACATTTTACTTCTCGGAGGACATGCAGGATGCTAAGTGCTGAGGAAATTTTGAGTCTACACCAGGACCACTGTTAACAAACTATGCATCACAGATCACAGTGACCAACTTATCCCAGCAGAAATAATCATTCTCATCGTTACATCCGAGTTGGAAATAGCTAAGCGATGTTCCCTCAGGTGTATCAACTTCTTTATGAATAAAAACACTGGCTCTCCCGTTGTCCTTCTCTTTATGATTATTTTGATCATGGATGTCCTCACTGCTTTACTGATATAACACACAAAAAAGAACAAAAATCATAATTACTTGGCAGAGTTTCCCCCACCGAGAGTAAGTAATGTTCTGACATGTCCATCAGCTGCTGCATTATAATACAAATTGTTTCCGAGAAAATATATTTCCTTAAAGGGTCTCTTTTCAAGGCTGGCAAGGCTAAAATTAGCCTCGCCAGCTGTGTTTTGCTGAGAGTGCTCACGCATGCCCAAAGGCGGGCAGGCCAATGCCGCTGCCTCGCAGAGTCCGCTCTGCTCTCCCAGCCCAGAGTCGCCTTTTCAGAGAGAAAGTTCCTGGTACAAATCCAGCTTGCTGGTCAAGAGCAGAGAATCTGGACCGAATGCACAGTGCTGTGTTCAGCCACACACAAGCCCCACCACCCCCGAGGCCAGCGGCTTCGCGCAGGGGTCTGGTTTCTGGAGGCTGTGAGTCTGTGCATGTTCCTTGGAGAAAGATAAGGGTGGTGAGTAAATAGTTTTATGTTTGACTTTCGACAAGAACAACAACCAGAAGGAAGGAAGGAGGGAGGGTGGGAGAGTAGGAGTAGGAGGCCCTGAGAGCCCTCTAATAAAGGGAATGACATCAACTCCTCTGATGTGTCAGTGTGTTATTTTGGGTCTCAGTTGTCCCTTCTGGAAAATGGAAATACTACCAACTTACCTGGCTGAAGGTGGTACACTGAATCAGATACTAAACAAAAATCCCGCTGATTTAAAAATTCTTCAGCGGCATCTCCTTGCTTGGGCAAGAGAGTCCTGACTCCTGGAATTGTTATCAAGACACTTCAAGTCCAATGTCCTTCTCCAGACTCAGATGGTAAACTCTTCCCCTTCCCTTCCGGACCCAAGTCCCACTGAACTGCTGTTAGGACTGGAAGGTGCTCTCTCAGGGCCCCTGTCATCCCTCGGCCCAGTGTTCTCCCAAACCCACCTCCATCCCCTTACCCTCCAGGCCACCCTGTAGGTATCAGCATGGATATCAGTCCCTCCCAGCAGCTCCCACTGACGCCCCTGCTCCCCACTGCACCTCACATCTGCACTGTGCGTGTCCTGCGTAACAACCTGTTAACTGCATGTCGCTTCTACGACGCTCTGACAGCATCAAGGGAAACAGGGAAGTGGGAGTTCCCATCACTATGGCTCACCTTCATATTTCCCAGTGGATACTGAGTAACTCTTTGATGAATGAGCCCTGCTGTTTCTGCTCAGTGGTTAGAGCATCAGCCCGAGGGCCAGTGAGTCACGGGTTCGATACTGGTCAAGGGCATCAAACCTCGGTTGCAGTTCGTCCTCAGCCCTGGTTGGGTCATGGGGGAGGCAACCAGTTGATGTGTCTCTCTCACATCAATGTTTTCCTCTCTCTCCCTCCCTCCCACTTTATCTAATGATAAATAAAAAATTTCCTCAGGTGAGGATTAAAAAATTTTTATTTGACGAATGAGACATCTTAAATATGATCATTCTAACACTACTCATATTCTTATTCCAGTCCATTTCTGGGTGCAGGGGGTGTGGGGATACACGGATCTGGACAAGGCCCTTCTCTCAAAGACTGTGTGTCCTAGGAGGTGAGATACACAAAGGAATAAGCGCCCTGGCCAGTTTGGCTCAGCGGTTAGAGCATCGGCCTGTGGTCCAGAGAGGCCCGGGTTCAGTTCCCCCTAAGGGCACGTACCTCAGTTGCAGTTTGTCCCCGGCCCCGGTTGGGGTGGTGTGGGTGGCAGCCACTCGATGTGTCTCTCTCACATCGACGTTTCTCTCTCTCTCTCCTTCCAGCTCTATCTGAAGATAAATGCAAAAATGTCCTCCTGTGAGGATTAAAAAACAACAACAACAACAAACAAAAAAAAAACCCAAAGGAATAAGCAAGGTAAATAGGCAATATAAAATCAGGTGACATTTAGTGCTGCTACAAAATATATGAGTAAGAATCACAGGGATTTCATCTTAAATAGGGTGGTTGGAAATGCTCTCGAAGGAGGAGCTCTGGGATCACAGAGTGGGTGTGAATATGCCCTGGGTGTTGTAAACCCTAAGAATACCCTGTGAGCCTTGGTTCTCATCCTGCCCTGATGTATCACTGTGCCCCCGTTCACCTCCATCCATCCAATGGCACTACCCACCTCACACAGTACCTATGAGAAGTCACTAAATAAACATGTGACGGATTTATCATACTGTGGAACACATTGGATTTGCTAAAAAAAAAAAAAAATGTCAGCTTGCATCTGGGAGGAGAGCATTCCAGGCAGAGGGAATAGGTACTGAAAGTCGGCAACAAGAGTGTGTCTCTGGAACATGGGAGAAATGGTGCAGGGGCTGGAATGGAGCAAGTGAGGGGTGAAGACTATGAAAACAATGCTAGAGAGCACCCTGGAGCCAGCCTGTAACATCAGTGGTGAGCACTTGGTGCGGAAAGCTCAGTTAGGGACAGTTGATAGTATACAGTGAGGACTCTATCCACATATTCTCGCTGTAGATCTAGACATCTTCAACGGTAGAATGCCATCCTTCTGAAAGACCTATTGAGGCTTCTCCAAAGTCTAAGACCTATACGAACAGGATCCTAGACTGCCTCCACCAATACCATCAGGACATCAGTATTCTTTTATTAGTAAGTGATCTAGGTACTCCTTCAAGGGAAAATAATGCCATCTTATTTACAAAGAAAAGGCAAAATAACTCTTCAGCCCAATCTATAGTCCACGTACAGGTATCAATGCTATCAGCAATTTCTACGCAAATTGCCACTTTCTGAAAGGTCATTCTATTGTATCATATTATTGCATCCATTGTCACTAGACAAAACAATTCATTGAACATTTAAAGCTTTTCTTAAATAATGCAAAGATGGTTTGTCACTTGTGAGAATTGTAAAACCCATGTTTTATTTATTAAAAAAAAAAAAAATTTTCCCCTCAGGGATACCAGTAGCCATAGCAATTTGGGAAGGAAGATACTCATGTCGGAAATAGTTTTTATATCATGTCCGCTCTGTTGGAGCAGTACTGCTTTCCATTTGAATGGTCAAGTGAAGGTAGGAGGTCACTAGTTTAAGATGCTCTCAAGCAGAAGTCAGCTGTGGCCCATTTGCCAACTCCCCACCGTATTTCGTGCAGACTCAAGAGCAGCACACGGCAGCAAAGGCCGTGGACTCTGGCTGACTCACGTGACTCCAGCACAGACGGAGGGCTGCTCGGTCCAGACAGGTTCTTGGCTGACAGGAGTGACACAGCGGCCGGAGGTGACGTGATGGCAGTGAGACGAGGGTCAGTTGGGTAGAGATGAAGCCTCTCGTCCTATTTGCCCTTGACCCACCCACTCAAAGAAAAACTGAATCCTCTCTTTGGGAGGTTTATTTGTTAAATTACAAGGACTTAGTCAAACACAAAGGAAAAGAACAGTAGAGATATAAGAAAAACAACAACAACATAATGATACTATCCTTGAAAACACGTGTACTATTCTATCTTTAAAATGACATTCATGACCTTGAATTTTTTTTTTTTAATTTGGCATTATCTTTCTTCTTGATTCAAAGTGGTGAATTCCTTTTCAATATAGCAATTTCCAAAGGAGTATCATACCTAAAAGTTGGCTTAAAAAAAAAAAAAAGACAAGATGGCAGATTGCAATTTCTAACGTTAAAGTAATGTTACAACTTTCTTTTCTCCTGCTGACTACTGACCAATTGTTTAAGAAAACACCTGAGGCAAATTGGGAAAAAAAGAGACTAGGGATTCAACCAAATTTAAATTATAATTGAATGCAAAAAAATTAATGTAGATAAAAACAATAAAGTTTGGTCTTGGAAGAAAATGTCAAGCATCAAGAAAAAATTAGAATGAAGTATATGATTCTAGAGCATTAATCAAGTATAAAAGCAAGAATATATATATATTTAATCCTTACTTAAGGATATGTTTCTATTGATTTTTTTAG